CTCGTCGCGCGTTGCCCAGCATTCAGATCACTTGGCCTTCGTTGCGCCAGCCAGAATGGTGGTTGTTGTTCTTCGTGGGGTCTGCGTTTGCGCGTCGTGCCTGCCGCTGCTTGGCAAGTTGGGTCTCGGGGCAGGGGGGCGGTCACTGCGAGTTCGCGGACGTCTGATTCGGACGGCATGTCGTATTCTACGCGTGCCATTTTGTATTCGCGCCCAGGCCCGCGCGAGTGCGCGGCGGCATCCTTGTTTTCATCCCAGCTCGGGCTGCCAGGCGAAGAAGGGGCTTCGCAAAATGGCCCCCCCCCCTCCCGCACGTGGAACCACAGAGTGAGGGCCTTTTCTTCTATCGCCGCTCTTGCGGCTTGCATGTTGCGTCCACCGCGGGAAGACCTCCTCTGAATTTATGATAATATAGGAGGGGGGTGGACTGCCTCATCTCACGCATCAACGTGTTCGGAGGCGCAGGAGGTCAGACCAGAGGGTTTATGAACTCCTGTTTTGCGGGGGGTGTGGACCAAACGGTTACCGCGCCTGGGTTGCGGTCTGTTGTTGAAGCGTTCCAGGAAGCGCCCCACGGTGACGAATGTGGGGGTGCCTGGGTTGTGGGTCGGCGATGTGTGTGTGCGTGTGTGTGTGTGTGTGGGTGTGGGTGTGGGTGTGGGTGTGGGTGTGGGTGTGGGTGTGGGTGTGGGTGTGGGTGTGGGTGTGGGTGTGCGTGTGCGTGTGCGTGTGCGTGTGCGTGTGCGTGTGCGTGTGCGTGTGCGTGTGGGTGTGGGTGTGGGTGTGGGTGTGGGTGTGGGTGTGGGTGTGGGTGTGGGTGTGGGTGTGGGTGTGGGTGTGGGTGTGGGTGTGGGTGTGGGTGTGGGTGTGGGTGTGGGTGTGGGGGTGGGGGTGGGGGTGGGGGTGTGGGTGTGGGTGTGGGTGTGGGTGTGGGTGTGGGTGTGGGTGTGGGGGGGGGGGGGGGGGGCTGGCCCCCTCGGTCCTTGTTCGGTTTTATTTGCGTCGGTGGTTCCGCGTATATCTCACGTGGCTACGCGACTGCGCATTGTTTCTGGGAATGTCAGCCCATCGTCGGGGTTCGAGCTCTTCGTGGCTTGCGGCGCGCGGCAATCGCCTCAGTCCATCGCAGGCCCCCCTCGTCATCCTCGCTTCCGCCCCCCCAAAAAAAACAAAAAAAAAAAAAAAAAACAAGGCCATTTCGTTTCTAGCGAGGCTTGCGAAGCCGAGTACAAGTATACCCGTTACTGCGGTGCGGACGCCCGCCCAGAGTCCACGGCGCGCCTGGCAGACAGAAGCGCGGGGCCTCAGACGTGGAATCCAAAGTTTGCGGCTGGCGCCGCCGCCCCAGAGATCGCCCAAATCCTTGTCAGACAAAGTGGCCGAATGATGAGTTTTTGCCATTCGCTTCAATGCGTTGCCACCAGTGTTAGAGCTGCAGGAATTACCTCAATGCGCGCGGCTCCGCATCCCAGGAGAAACATGCCCAGCGGTCAAACAGCGACGACGAATCCCACCTCGAGAATTACATGGGCGGTTTGACCAGGTATGAGGGGCAGGCCGACGAAGGTAGAGTTGACTCCAGGGAGGTTGTTCGGCCCGAGACGGTGCAGGCCAGCGAGAGCATGTCCCTTATCGGCGACGAGCTTCCGGGCATATTTTGGGCCGATTGGTTGCTTTCGAAGCGCGACAAACCAGCGCCCGCGCAGGACGCGATCTTCTCGTGCCGCGGCAAGTCGGGGGCGCTCTTGAGCCCCATCCAGGGCGAGCCCTTGGGCACGATTCGCACTCGGAAGGTCAGGGATTGCAAAGTGACGAAAGAGACAACGCTAGCTTCGTCATCCAGCGCGCAACGCGACGGTCAAGTTCAGAGTGTTTTCGAGAAGGCCAGCGGACAGCTGTCCAAGGTCGGCCTCGATCCGAAAAGGGATGTCGAGAAGGACGAGGACGATGACAATTACCAGAAGGTCATCAATCTCCCGAAAAGGACACTCAAGAAACAACGGTCTGATTCCCCGAGTGCAGACTCCTTGTCATGCGTGTCAGCCCCATTACAGGCGTCGAAGCAGAAGGGCGCTGAGGAGGGCCGCAAGGCCAAGAAGCGTGGAAGCGATGATGGCGCCAGCGGCGCAGCTCCGGGGAGGAAGGCTACGAAACTTTCTCAGTCCGTGACGGACAACGGGAAACAGAAACCCAAATCACTCAAACAGGTCGTTGAACTGAACGCATTGAACCAGCTCGTCACGGAGTGCAACCCATACATGGCAATGGCTAGTCCTGAGAAGGATTTCGACGCCATCACCGTGAAAGCTCTGGAAGGGGCGCTGAAGAAGATCGACGTTAGGTTGAAGCCGGCGAACATCGCTATTGCGATTACCGCTGACGAAGGCGACTCGGAGGGCAAAGCTAGGGCGCAGTCAGCCGAAAAAACGATAGGAGATTTACGCGCTTTGCAGGAAATCCTCCGGTCGCTCGTCCCTGTCGTTCGGGTTGCATGTCTGTCTGGCGCAGATTGCGAGATTGATGGGTCGGAGATGCCCGTCGTTCTGAACGTGCTCTCGGCGCGCGGCTTGAACGTTGGCGTCGGCGCGGTCGAGAGGTTGCTGAAGAGCCAGGGCAGGGCCCTTTTGAACGCGTGCGCCTTCGGCGACATTGTCGCCATGTGCCAGCTTACGGCAGGGCCATCTCCGTGTTTACGTAATGCCCTCTCTGAATTTCTCGCGCCCTTCCTGACCGCCCCCCTCCAAGCGCTCCAATCAATTCCTATTTTCGGTTGCGGCCGACATCCCTCCTTTATTTCGGAGCGCCGGAATCATAATGAGCTGGGGGGCGCAAGGGGGGGGGCACGAGGAGGGCGGCTGAGAGGGGGGGGGCATTCGGCAACCCGAAAAACTGTGAGACAATATGTTGCCAGAAGAGCGCCTTCACATTCGGGGTGTTTTTTCGCGTTGTGGCGCGTCGCAGCCACCAGCGCACTTACAATCTCACGTTCGGCTGATCTGGGCTTTCCGCTTGGCCTCTCTCCCCACGCTCTCGGCCCTTAGAACCCTAGAGGCCCCCGGGCTCTGGGGAACGCAGATCGCTCGCGGGCGCAGTTGATGAGTTCTTCGCCATCAAGTTGGTTGGCGCGCTCGTCAAGTTGATAGGTTTTTTGGCCGCCAAGTCGATGAGTTTTTGGCCATCAAGTTTTTTGTCAATCAAGTTTTCTCGGTCTCTGTCCTGGGCGACGCCTTGCTGCTTGGCCATGGGCTACGCAGGCGCAGGGGGGGGTGGCTGAAGGGGGAGGGGGGAGGGCAAAACCAAGACAGGCGGTCTGCGGCGAAGACACACGTTAACAAGATGCCCCCCCCCCCCCGCCCTTGATCAACGTGAGGTGATTGCGGTGGTGAACGGTGGTTTGAACGTCACAGTTGGGTTGCCAAAAACAACGAGGTCCAAGATCGCACGGTTGCGTTTAAACACTAATTTGCAGGAGTGCGTACTTGGGCACAGGCAGCCATGCAGCCAATCTCTTCCAGGGCAAACGAAGCCGCCAGTCGCGGACAACAGAGCGCCAAAGCATTTCCCGCACAAACGGAACCAACGCATCATCTACGCTCGGCTAAGAAATGCGGCGCTGGGTGCGGCTTACCCTACAGCCTCAACGCCAGCAGCAACGCAAGGGGAGCAGGCAGCAAGATGCAATAACGCAGAGCTGACCATGAACAGCTACATGCACGCATGACCAACGGACCGAAGGGTGAAGCAGGGGTGGCGGAGGGCGGATGGAGGAGTGGGAAGGAGGAGAATGAGGGGGCAGGGGTGGCTATGGAAATATTCGAAGGGATGGGGGATGTGAAATGGGCGCCCAGCAGATGTGCAGCCCGACTTCGTAGACTTGTCCGTGGTAGCATCGGAAGTCCGCCCCGGCGTCCAGATTGTGGTTTTCACCGAGATGATTTTCTACGGTTTGAGATCAGCCGACGCCGCCGTGCACCAGAAGGCTTTCGACCTCATCCGGATTGCGCATTCCAACCTGGATTTCGCTCGAGCCCTCAGCTCGCCGATGAAGCATATCCATGCCTTGGTTCAGACTTTGCTGCCCGACAGTGTCGTCGTTGCAGAACAAGCCGATGTCTCGGCAAAGGAAGTTCCAAAGGCCATTCGCAGTGAGAAAATGTTTTCGGCGGCGCGGGCAGTCGTTCCGCATCGCATGGGGGCGCCCACAGCGCTGCCTTGCACCAGTTTTTCTCCAGGGAATTTCGGGAAGTTGATTGTTTTTTGACTCGTGGGGCGGTGTCCGGCATAACGCAGATGAAACTAATATGTTGAGGCCCCGGGCACTGGCCCGTTTGGGCAGTTCTGGCGTTGTCTCCGTTTGAATGAACATTAGTTTCGGCGCGAATGCATTGCGCAAAACCAAATAAGAAATAAGTGTTTCTGAACGGGGCTATTCAGTGTTGCCATTTTCTTGCTTGCTCCCTGCAAGGCGCCAGTGCTCGCGTCCAAGTGGGCCGTGCACCCTGGTTTTTTGAGTTTGAGCGCGAGTGTTACGACATTCTTGAAAGAGTGCCAGGAGAAGGGCGCAGCCACGAAAAAAGTTACAGGACCTATTGTCGAAAACACTTGCGACCAAGACCGTGGCTACGACGGATTCCCAGGTCAAGGTTACGGAGGCTCTCAGGGCATGGGAACCGATCGCTACGGAGTTCCAGTCGTTAGTAGCGGCGCAGACTTCGCAGGCCTGACTTGATCGGAACGCTGCGAGCGTGAGCAACTTACAACGGCAAGTGGAACACTTTCGAGCGTCGGCGGCGGCTCGCGGCGCGCACCGCGCACGCCCGGGCATTCTTGAAAGCGTTGCGAGGCGGCGACGGCAGCAGCGCCTTAGAGACCGCCCTGAAAGCGCCGACACTCGTTGTGAACATTGATTTGGCAAAGGCGGGCGCGGCTTCATTGTGGCCGGAGGCTCAGCAGGATGTCGCGCAGGGCATCGCGAAAAAAACATCGGCCCGGCGTTCCAGGCCATTGGGCTTGCAGCCCCGCGGCTGCTTTGCAAGCGCGCGGACTTGAAGCCCAACGAACCTGCGTTCTACAAGCTCGTCGAGTCCGCCATGCACATCAAAAGTGAGTGTGTTTCCTGCGGCTTCACGGAGGTGAGCGACGCCAGCGGCGTCGTTACATTGTTCGACTCTTACTTGAATGAGATGGCCCGGCGGGTCTAGTGGCAGTTGAGTCAAGCGAGCGCGGCGGGTGGTAGCACGTGCGTGAGTTTAGCATCGATGTGGAAGGCTTTCGAGGCAGCTTCGTCTGATGACCTCGGTTTGAAGGCCGCTGCTCTCACCTCCGACCAGGCGATGACCTTGCAGGTGCTCGTGCAAGGCCCCAATTCTCATCGCGTGGAGGTTGGCCTTTCTGCTTGCGCTTTCTTCCAGTCCACCGGCCTCGCTGCAGTTTGTCCATTCCTGGGGCCGAACAGCGCGTCCTTGACTCAGTGGCGTGGCGGCGTCGCCCTCGCCAAGGTGATTCATTGCAACGGCCTGTGCAATTCTGGGGTGGGTACCTTGAGCCGCGCAGCGCTTGTCGACAGGGCAGCTCCGCGTAAAGACTTCTGGGCCGCAGCAGGCCGAGCGGAGACCAATGTCCTTGCGACGCTTGGCAAGTCGATGCAAGAGGGCGCGATGAACGCGCTGTCCGCCCGTCTATGCTCGGCTTTCATGGCCATTAGCAGGGGGCGCGCATCTGCCATTGCACGCGGGGGCAAGACGCTGCTCAACGACAGCGTCGACGCGATGATCAAGGCCGTCGGCGCAATTCCTGGCGACTCCCCGCCGTTAATGAGGGACCGCGTTGTCCAACTTCCAGAGGGGGGCTTTTCATGCATTCCATCGAGAAGTTCTGTCCTTTTCGTTTTTTGTTTCCTTTTATAAAGCTCATGCGCGACGCGCGCGGGCAAAACGCGCGGGCCACGCAGCCCGAAACGAATCAGAAACACGTTTGGAACAATGGGCAGTTAAAATGTTTAGTATACATCAGCTTGCGGCAACTCCCGCCGATCCCCCAATTGCGTTTCATGCCGGCGAGGGCTTAAAAGGACCATAGGGAGAGGGGGGGCGGGGTGTTTAAGGATGCCCGGAGGAGGAACAGGAGGTAGAGGAGGAGGAGGAGGAGGAGGGGGAGGATCAGCGCCAGCAGCGCCAGCAGGGGGGCGAGACGCACAAGGGGGCCAAATAGCGCAATGGCGGGGATTATGGTCACAACGCCCGTGGTTTATATAGTGATGGTGACGATGATGCAGCTGGTTTTGACACGACGGAACATGCGCACGAGGCAAACGTTGCGGTCGATTGCGGGAGAATTGCGACGGCGGGACTGAGGGGGAGGGGGAGGGGGAAGAGGAGGAGCAGGAGGAAGAGGAAGAGGAGGAAGAGAGGAGAAGGAGAAGGAGGAGGAGGGGGAGGAGGAGGAGGAGGATAGTAGTAGTAGAAGGAGGAGGAGGAAGAGCAGGAGGAGGAGGAGGAGGAGGAGGGGGAGGAGGGAGGACGAGGAAGAGGAGCAGGAGGAGGAGGATGACGAGGAGGAGGAGGAGGACGTGATGAATGCTCACTTGCGACACGCGCCGGCTCTACGTGTCGCATGTGTTTCGTTGGCCTTGTCTGGGGCGTCGCGGGGCTCGCGGCGGGGTAACCGCGCCAGCTTGGGTGCGTTGCAGACCGCCCATGTGCCTTTTCACGATGTCTGAAGGCCGTTCTTGGGGCGCCATATTTTTAGTTAAAAACCAATTTGGCCGTCGTGGGACCATCGTGGCGGGCTCGGAAAGCTTTCGCAGCGCAAACGCGGAGCTCCTTCGAACCCGACGGGAGGGGTCGATGATCTTTACTTCTTCGTCCTTTGCTGGAGGCATCTTGCAGACGTCTCGCGCCGTTGTGAGGGCCCCATCAAGACGTCTCGAGCCCGTCTTGGCGCCGGCAGGGGCCGTCGTGGACGCCGCGCGGCCTGTGTAAGCGGCCTTGGCAGCCCGTCTGGGCCGTCTAGGAGATCGTTTTTGGCGTCTGGGCCGTCTCGGGCACGAGGGGTGAAACGACGTTGCCAGCCTTGCCAGACGCCAGTTGCCATTCCATCGCGCCCCGACCTGCTGGAAAGGCGCCGTGGCGGATCGCAACAGGACATGAGCAAGGCAGACGGCAATGGCCTTCACAAGAAATCCTCAACGAAGGAGGCGAAGGTTGCCAATTCTGCGTGGCGTGAACAGATGGCAGCCAATCAGACACACGTCAAGATCGAGGCTAGTTTGAACACGTGCTTGCCCACAGACCCTGAATTCAAGTTTGACGCCCAGGCTTGCTGCAAAGATGCTTCAGCTGCACTCGACACAGCAGACCGAGCCAGAAGGCTAGGTGCTGCGAGGGTTTCAATTGCCCACATCTTGGCGATCCAGGCTGCGCTTAAGCCCCTGAAATCAACTAAGGCCGATACCAGAGCTTCTAATCTGGAAGCGGGCAGGGCCAATCTCGCTTTCCTTGAGCTTGAAGAGGAACTCTTAGCAAAACTATTGCAGTTCTTAGAGGCCTGACTGGCGCAATTGCCACTGACGATCAAACGTTGCTCTTCCACCCGCACGAGGTGTACAACGGACGGGGTTCGGGATGTGTAGACCGTGCCAGCGCGCTGGGGTAGGGCTGGGTAAACGCGCCCCCTGGCTTTTCGTTAAAATTCCGAAGGTGTCCCTGGTTACTTTGAAATTTACATGCATCGTCCACCTTCCGGCTGCAGTTGTTACGTAGGTGTGTCCTTGTGTTGTTTCTCTCCCAATGTTTGCCCTGCTTGTATCTTACACGTATGCAATTTTCCATGATAGTATATTTCTTTCGCTCCCTTCCTATCCAATGTAGAGGTGTGCCTCCTGTTTTCTCGCACTCTCAGTCTCCCCCCTCTAGCATTCACCAATGTCATGTTTCGTTTTGGCTGTATTTGTTTGCAATCCCTCATCGACCGGTTCGCTTCCTCACCCTGTGTTTCTGCACCGCGCCCTCTGTGGCTCCAAGGTGCCGTGTGCATACATGTGCATGTGTCGTTGTATGGTTGTGTTTATATAACACGCGTGTTCGCGCGCATCTGCACGCGCATCAGTTTCCAGCACGCGCAAGCTGCCCCGAATATGTGCTCGCGCAGGGTTAGCTAGGCTTGAGGCTGCATCGAACGAATGCTAAATTCATAAGGCATTGGCACTTTTGGGCTTTCGCAAGCGGTCTATGGACACGGTTGTTGCCGCCTCGTGAACGGGGTGTTCCTCGAGGCGGCGTCGAGTCGTGCGTGGCCGCATGCGGGCAGATGAAAACACTTCACCTGATGCGTTGTCCTGGTCCGAAGTCGGCGAATTCGCGCGCTTGGCGCATTCCGCCTGCCCGAAAATCTGGACTGACGGCCTTGAATGCATGTCGATTGAGTGTTCCGTCGTGCGAGCGCAGATTTGACGCCCGTTTGAATTGTTTTCAATCGTTCGGGCCCAGGGGCCGGCACCGTCAAGCATTTTGTGCTTTGGTCGGCATCGTCATATTTTTCTCGCCCCCCAGCCCGGCCGCGCTGTCGCCCTCCCGCCATTCATTCGGCGTCCTCCTTCTCAGCGCCCTTCCCGCGCGTGAAACGCCGTGCATGCGAGGGCGAGGGCGACCTTGCTATTGTAACTTGCCGTTTTTGTGCGGTGCGAAGCGCAGCGCGAGTTACAGTCACATTCTGCTTCGCGGCCGCCACGCGTAGTGCAGCGCTGTGTTTGGGGCGCCCTAAAGAGCGTGTACAAGGGATCGAGCCCAATACGCAAAAGCGTGGCGAAGCTGCAAGGCCGGACAGCGGCCGCGACGACAAGGGTGGCGGCGAGGAAGTTGCAGCTGCGGGAGGGCCCGCCGTGGCCAACGCCAGCGTGACAGGCTGCGCCGAATTGCCGCTGCAGCGCGCACGTCTCGGCATCGCTCCGACGCGTGCATTTTTCCTTCGGCGAGGGCCATCGAGGAGCATCCTTGATCATTTGGCGAAAAAACCACGCACGAAACCAACGAAAAAAACAGGGGGACGTCCGAGCGATGGAGAGATGTGGCGCGGCATTCATCGCAGCGTGCCGCGGTCAAAAAGGGAGGATCGTTTGCGGGGGTTTAGCTTGCCACTGTCGGGGGCGCCTGACTGGCGGCGTTGCCGGCGATGCAGACCGCAGTGGCCCAGGCCTTGGCCAGGGTGGCCAGCGGCGAGCGTCTTTTCCCTTCCCCCACGGCGTGCGACCCCGCCAAACTCCACCACCGCAGCAGTTGGGAGGGGAAGGTCAGTTGGGGGGCGGGGGGCTGGCAGCTAAAGGCAGGCGGAGTCAGGTTTAAGTCTCGCCTGTCCCTCTACAGGAGGAATATCCAAAAATAATCAAAACAGAGTCTCGGGGCCGATGTTTTGAGCATTTGTTGACCATTTTGGTGTATTGATTTTAAGTTTTTTCGTCCAAAATATCCTCGTAGGACGACAGGCCCGAAACAAAGCTAAAGGCAGGTTGAGCCCGGATGGGGTGGAGGTGGCAATGGGCCCTCTCAGGCTCCTCGTCGCCGCGGCCCCAGCTCGCAGCTGGCGAGGAAGGCCGCCGCCGCGGAGGCGCGCGATAGAACTCCATTCGACTACGCGTAAGAGTGATCCTTCGCCAGAGTGACCTTTGGCGCGCGGCCGCTGGGGCCCCCCCGATCGTCGCGCGCGGTGCGACGGTAGCGCCTCGTTCGCTTGCGTCCGGCCCCCCCCGCGGCCCTCAAAAAGCTTCGCACCAAAGGTCACTCCTACTAAGGGTCACTCTTGCGTGTAGCCGATCAATCCACCAGTCTGGAAATAGGAGCGCGCCTCTTGATTGTTCGGGGCATAATGGGCATTATAGCCCCCTCCCCCGCCCTCCCCCCCCCATTCGAACCTCGCATCCCTCCCCCCCCAAGTGCGCCCCCCGCCCTCCGGGCACTGCCACTGCCGCGGCCCGCGCGTCGGGCGCACGGGGGGGGGGGGGGGGGGGCGTTGCTATTGCGCCCCCGCCCCCCCCCCCCCCCCCCCCCCCCCACCCCCCGAAAGGAAAGAACGCGTTCTAGGCTGTTGCGCCCATGCGGACAAATTTGTTGCGCGCTCTCGCAGTGCGTCGGGTGAGTAGCATATTTGGGTGAGAAAGCCACGGCGGGTTTGGGAGTTCCGTGCGACCGTGGACCCACTGCGTAGCACAGCCTGTTGTAGGTGTAGCCGCCTGAGGTACGTGTGGTCCGTCGGATGAGCGTGGGTGCGAAAGCCACTGCTGTGGGCCCGCAAACTTCGCGCCGCCTGCAGTTGCTGCTGTCGCCGTGTGCTGTTGCTGCCGAGTGGTGCTGCCGGCGTGATTGGACGCTCACAGTGTGCCACAGGGAGTAGGATCCAGCAGCTGCTGCTGCTGCTGCTGCTGCTGCTGCGCTACTGCTGCTGCCGTCGAAATAGTGAGTGCGGCGGCGTTGGTAAAACATAGCGCAGAGGCCAGGAGTCGGTGATGGGAGAGCTGGCGGCGCGTTGCGCTGCCCGATGGCGTTTGCAATCGCTGGTCGCAGAAAAAAATGGGGGGAGTATTGACGCACTGGCAGGCCTCCGCGCGGCAGCCCCCGTCTCGGCATGAGGGTGGCTTTCGCTTCTTAGCCGTAGGTTGCCGGGAGAAGAGAGGCAGGTTGTGAGCTCCAAGGGTAGAGCCACGTGGGAGGGTGGGCGCTGTCGACCACGCTGTCGGCATTGTTGCTGCGGGGTTGTCTGCTTCGGATGCGGTTCCCGTGGGCATGAGTCT